AGCCACCCCAGTCAGGGTGCTTGCCTATCTGGTATTTTCCAGAACCATTTCAATGTAAATAAGAGATTAGCCGGAAGCAGAGGGCAGTGTCCTAGGTGGCTCAGGGCAAGCTATATTTAAGACCCTGCCCCCATGCCAAGCAGCGCCTACAAAAACAGCCATTGACTGGGGCACATACCCACACCATGTTCAATGTGGCCTAGGCACTGTGCCCACCACCCACGGGCTGGGTGGCCAGAACACTCTGGGACTGCTGTTCATCACAGGAAGAAGGCAGAAAGGTCTCTCTAAGGACAGAAGGGAGACCTGGCAGAATAGTACTAGCTCGGCTCATTGCTCAGGAACCCTAACAATCCTGGACAGTTTACCCTCAGGTGCCCCCAGAACCTTCTACCTAGCACTTCCTGTACTTTTGACACTTGCAAAAAAGAAAAAAAGAAAGCTTAGTTTGGGCTCTCATGAGGTAAGACTCTGATGCCAGAGGTTCCTGAAGCTTTGGCATAAAATAAGTTTTTTTGTTTTGTTTTACGCAAACAGACAAACAAACAAACAAAAAACCTCTCAAAACTCCTGTAAGAATCATTCAGAAAAATATTAGGAACAGAAGCACTATCGAACTCCAAACCCAAGTAGCATGTGCCCGCCCCACCCTCAGGCTAGCGCTCAACATGGACCAGGCTAACCTGGAAACTTAGCCAGCTACACAATTTCATCTCCAAGCCATTCCTGCAGCCCTACAGGTCCCGTTCCTGACGGCACCTGGAATCTCGATGACAAAGTAAATGCGTGTGGTTCATACATTTCCACCCAGGAGTGTTGAAATACCACAACAGTGAAAGGAACTCTGTTAGTCTCTCCCAGACAAAGGCAACCCTGACCAGCCAGTCTCCCGCTAGTCTCCTCCACAGAAACCTGGATACGGATTTGGAACACCCAGTACACTTCTTGTTCCTTCAGCTGACTTTTTTGTTTGTTTGTTATTTATTCATTTATTTATACTTCAGAGCTTGAACACAACCCAGGACTTCCCCACATGCTGAGCTCTAACCCCAGCGCCTGGGGCTATCTTAAAGAGAAAGTCTAGGTAAGAGCCTGAGAACCTTAGAAAACTGTAGAGGTGGAAGATACTAACTTCCCCAGACCAGCTCACCTGCTACATAAACAAGCTTGTCTTCTATGGAGACCTACAGAGGACAGACAGCACCGGGCTAACCTGTACCTAGCTCCCTGCTCTGTCTTTCCCAGAGAGGCCTAGAAGAAAGTTGCTGGGCTTCACTGTTTATCCAGTCTAATCTCTGGGAGGAGAGGATAGATACATTTTTATAGACTCAAGGGTCACTTCCACTAAGGTGATCTCTGCTGACTGTCACCTTTCATAGGGTCAGACCTAGCCACTTCCTCCTTCCCGGCCTTCTGTGCTTGTGCTCGGCCTTATGCTGTCCATCTGCACCTAGGTCTGTGCTTCCGCATGGAGAGGTCACATTACTCACTTAACCCCTCATGCCCAGCACTGTGCCTGGCCATTAAGGAAACTTCACTGTCTATTGGAGGAATGAGTAAGTGGAAGCTCAGAGAAGTTTGGAAACTGGCAAAACCCAAGCCTGGGTCTTCAAACAGATGTCTGTTTAGTGGATAGTTGTACCGAAGGACAGGTAGCCACGGCATGAGAACTGGGTGCTGCTGACAGCCCTGCTGACTGGTTTCTGTCACTCAAGCCCCAAGTCTCTCTTATCACTCTGGTTCACCTCTCACCCACTCTCATGTTACCCCTGTAGTAGCTACAGGACAGGTGAAAAGGATTTGCAAATTCCACTTACATCTTCTGAGCCGGAATCCCAAAGGTTGTCTCTTCCCCAGGGCCCTTAAAACAGGCCACAAAGAATGAAGGCCTCGGGCCCCATCTGTGTGGGGGAGAGGACAGATGGCTAGCCAACTCCCTCAGAGCTCCCTGGAGACAGGCAGCGTGTGGACAGTTGATGGATGACCTGATGGACAGGGCGGCTGCCAGGAGCTGTCCCTATGGAGGGAGCTACTGTCATCAGGGTTCCCCGCCCAAAGGCTTCAGGCTGTTCGAAGGCTCTTGGCGTGGAAGTGGGGTTGGAACCCATGCCAAGACAATGAGCAGAAGTTGGAATGGGAAGAAGAGAAGATAAGCTGAGGGCCCCAAGAGAGTTGACAAGCCTCCCACTCAGCTCCTGGGGTCAGTCTCAAGAAGCTGGAAATGCTGGGCTCACCCTGCTGCTCTGCTTGTTTTCGAGTGTCACCACAACCCAAATGGGAGGAGGTACAAAGACTCTTCCAGCCCTGTGTGCTCTACAGTAAGTGCTGTTAGCCGTCAGAAGTCTTACAGGTGGGTTTCCTATGGTGCACTCTGTCAGATCTGTCAGGCTTAAGTCTAGGGAAGAAGTCCTCTGGGCATCAGCTGGGCTGGTCCCATGGAGGATAGAACAAGCTGGGACTTCACGGATACCAGCTGCAAGGTGGATGCTACCACATCTCCAAGCTAAAGCATCCTCTTCCCTGAGGATAGGGTAGCAGCAGCTAGCTGGGAAGGTAAGGTGCCTGGGAAATGTGAGATGTCAGGATAGTCCCTGCCTGAGCTATAAAGAGTAAACATAGTGGCATCTGGGATGCCAGGCTCAAAGCCCCAGAGGCCTGCCTGTGGTTCGGCAGGGAGCTGGCAACAATACCCCAGGGGATTTGTGTTTGAGAAGAAAATTCCACCTGTTAAAAGCAGTATCAGCAGAGGCCAAAGAGACAAATGTGGTAGAGTACTATGACCTAGGCACTAAGATAAAAACATTTCCCTTTAAAATATGGTTCCCTGAGTTCAGCCTAGCTAGATGGCTAACACAGAGGAGATGCTCAATGTGTCTGTCTCTCCTCTCTTCTTTTTTGTTTGTTTGCTTGTTTGTTTATTTGGAGACTGAGTCTCTCTATATAGTCCTAGCTGTCTTAGAACTCACTATGTAGACCCAGCTGGCCTCCAACACACAGAAACCCACCTCCCTCTGTCTCCTGAGTGCCGGGACTGCAGGTATACACCACCACACATGGCCTTTTTCTGCTTTCTTTTTTTAAAGATTTATTTATTTTATTTTATTTTATGTGTATGAACATTTTGCCTGCGCACACCTATATGTGACTTAGCATTCCTGGTACCCCAGGAAGTCAGAAAAAGGCTTCAGATCCACTGGAACTGGAGTTATGTTTGGTTGGAAATCACCATATGGATGCAGGGAACCAAACCTGGGTGTTCATCAAGAGCAACAAGTGCTTTGGACTGCTAAGCCATTGTGTGTGTGTGTGTGTGTGTGTGTGTGTGTAGGCATACAGAGGTCAGAGGACAATTTTTAGAAGCTGGTTCTCTCCTTCACCAGGACCCAGATACCAAACTTAAGACTGTTGGGCTTGCATGGTAAGTACATTCCATTACCTGCGAGCCATCTTTCTGGCCTTCGGTGTATATATCTCTAGAATGAATAAGTCCATGTCCCTCTCTGGATTCTATAGAAGCATCATTCCACCCACTAACCTACTTCTGCAAAGCTGCCAAACACAATCAGTTCCAGTACAGGAAGGCCTGGAACACAAGTCGAGTGTGTCTGCCTAGGTCTGAACTGCCTCTCTTAGCCTCCTCTGGATCCAGCATACTGCAAGACTGGGCCATCACCCCGAGAGCACCCTACCCCTCCTCACTGGGAGCCAGGCTCTGCCTGCTTCCTCCACACTTCCTCCCCTTTCTGACTTTGGCACATCTGGCTAATCACTTAGTGCTAAAAGGTCCCAGGCAGGTCACTCATTGCTCAAGCTGCAGGACATAGATCTGGACAGTCCTAAAACACACAGCTGGACAAGAACAATGACTAAAGGCCACCTAATCCATCATACACCATGTCCACACAGGACATGCAAAATTCTTTCACTCTCCCTGCATCAAAAGATGACTGAGTTTACACATCTTGATGCAGCCAGGCAGTGGTGGCGCACGCCTTTAATCCCAGCACTTGGGAGGCAGAGACAGGTGGATTTCTGAGTTCGAGGCCAGCCTGGTGTACACAGTGAGTTCCAGGACAGCCAGGGCTATACAGAGAAACCCTGCCTCAAAAAAACAAAAACAAAACAACAACAACAACACGTCTTGATGCTCCAAGGAGACCTACCCATGCATTTGATCTGAATGTTCTCGATCCTCCCACTGGGGGTTGCATGGCAATCACAGCTGGTAGATCTCACAGATAGGCTGCAAACTATCTCTGTAATGTAGATAAATCTAAACCACAACCATTGTTTAAAAGTTCTTTATGACCTGACTCCTGGTATCTCCCTCACTTGGGGTGAGAGGACACCAACCTAGCAAAAATCATCTCCCCAAGAACTGTAACCACAGCAGCTAGACACTCCAGATAGCCATGATTTTAGGTCATTTGTCATATTATTTTCACCCCTGAAATCTAAACAAGAGCTTCCTATACTTTGATGCTTGCAGACTCTCAGATCTCAAAGTGGCACCTACATCTCCAATTTAGGGCTCAGCAGATATGGTACCCAGGCCCCTAAGCTATCTCTATATGATGAAACTTGAATGCTTTCTCATCAATTACCCACTGGCATCTCACCTCCACTGATAGTAACAGGCCAAAGCTGATCTTAACCCAATGCCCTTGAAAACTCACAAGGCTGAATTCAATCATGTCAATCTAAAAGGACATTGCACGGAAACTTCAGACCAGAAGGCCCAGCTGAATTACTAAGGACTTTCTCCCAGTGAACTTTTGGGGGATTACCTTCAGCTTCTTGACAAGGCACAGAAGAAGCAAAGGCGTGAGTTTAATGAGTTTCCAGAGGGGCTCCCTCTCCGGAACTGGCTCCTCCCTATTGGCCCATCTTTCCGTTTCCACACTCGCTAAGATCTGCTCACAGTTCCTGGGTACCCTCAATGACCCACTTAAGTACACCAGTGGGAGTTGCTCACCCCTGATACCCAAGCAAGCACTCACATCAGCCGGCTCCCTGCGGTGTCCCTCGCCAGTCCGAAGCCAGCTCCGGCTCAGCTCGCTAAGCTCTGGGATGGGCTGTACTTTGAGCCGCACGCTCTCCCCAGACTGCCGGATCATCTCCACGATTTCATCCCTGGACTTATTCTCCACATTCTGTCCATTAATCTCCACCAGTCGATCTCCTGGCACCAGCCCCAAGGCCAGGTCCTTGGTGCCTGCCCCTGGCTCAGCAAAGTGAACCACCCGTCGATATGCCTGACCCTCAGGGGCCCGGTCCAGCATGGTTGTGCGCCTCAGTGAGAAGCCAAAGTCTCCTGTGGGTCGTCGCTGTAACTCCAGCTCCCGGAGAGCAGGAGGTGGTGGAGGTACCAGAGCAGGGAGACGTAGGTCAGCTGGGAATCTTTTTGTTACCAGCTCAGGGACTCGAGATCGTGGTCCTGGTCGAGGGATGCCTAGCGCAGAATGCTGTATTAGCTGTCCCTCAAGCGTCCTCACCTCTACCTGAGGTGATGGGGCTGCAGAGTGCTCTGAGGGGGTTGAGGTCTCTGAGGCACTCTCATCCCGGCTCCGTTGAGAGAAGGAAAAACGTTTGACAATCATCTGAGAGTTCTGCTTGGCCAGTGAACCAAACTTGGCTGCCCGCTGCAGCACAGAGCCCCGGAAGCTGCCTTCTTCACCCTTGAGGTCATCACTGGAGCTAGCTGTGCTTAGGTGGCCTGAGTCCAGGATGATGCTACCCCTATTGCTGTCAGAGTCAATGTCGGTCAAGTGCAGATCAGAGCCACTGGCCACCTTGATAGGGATGGGGTTGGAGATTTCCAGGCGCGTCTTGGATTCCCGCTTGGAGGACCGGTTCAAGTTGAAAAAGCCACGGCGCATGCTCATCTCTTCCAGGCTCCGCAGTTCTGCAGCAGACATCCTCTCCTTCTTCTCCTTTTTTTCCTTCTTCTCCTTCCGCCCGCCATCTTTGTCCTTATCTTTCTTCATGAGGTTAAACATGGTGGGTGTGCTGTCTTTAGGGGTTGTATCCCCAGTTGACTATGGGTGCTTAATACAGGGTCTTCGGACCCCACCTTGTAGCTGCAGGTAGAAACAGAGAAAAGCTATTCAGTTTTTTTCCCCCAGTTCAGACAGAGGCAGCTGATACTGATAAGTCAGTCACTCCAGTACTCTTGGAGAGCCACTGATGTACCAGGCAATCTGATTTACATAATTTTTTCTAATTTCACTTAATCCTTTAGACCAAAGCATAGGTGTCCCTGGAGAGACTTGCCTTACAGAAAACACCATTGCAACCTAAAACACAAATGAAAATGGAACACAAAAGGAAACGGAAGCGACACTGCAACAACACCTCCCCACAGGCAGTCCACTGAAGCAATGGACATCCCACGTGACTGGGCTCCTCCCTGTGCCTGGTATCCCCAGACCCACAACCTTAGCCCCTGCCTCAAAGACTCTGGAGGGTCCAACTTGTTAAAACAATATTCATTTATATGAGTGTTTTGCTTGCCTGTCTGTATGTGCATCACATGTGTGGCTAGTACCATAGAAGACCAGAAGGGTGTTGGATCCCTGGTGCTAGCGTTACAGACAGTTGTGCACACCCATGTGGACGCTAGGAACTGAATCCTCCTCTGTAAGAATAACAAGTGCTCTTAACCACGTGGCCATCTTTCTAGCACCTGGGATTAGCATTTATATGATGCGTCTTACCGGGAACACATACATACCCCTTCCTATTCAGTCCTCACAGGTGAGAAAAATGGCTCTTGGGAAATTAAGGATGTGTTAGGTGCTACCCATGAAATGAGTGGCCATGCTGCTGTGTCCCTTCTGATGCCCTGGGTGCCCAAAGTAAATCGGGGAGGGAAGGAAGGGGAAGTCCCAGACTGTACACATGACAGACAGTTGCACGGTGGGGGTGGGGTCGGCTAGATAAACAGGATCCTGAAAAACTCACATCCTTTTCCCCAGACCAATATCTAAATATAGACTAGGGAAGAAAGTTGTGGCAGCCTGAGAGAGAAGGCCAGCTCCAGGATATGAGCACCTAGTGCCCTAACCTACCCCCACTCTCATGCATACCAGATGGGGGCAGGAATAAGAAAAACCTGGTGAGGGTGGGACCCAAAGAGCCTTTCTTGTACTAACCAGCAGGGAATACAAAATAAAAGTAGGCCATACCATCTAATTAGAAATTAACTGTAATTTTTCTCTCTCCATGAACGCCTCCCCTCTAAATTCCAAACAGAGGGTCTGTGAGTTTACCCTCTCCAGCAACGGCCTATTGCCAGGCCCTGGATAGGCATTTCCTCTCCACCCAACCCCCAAAGCTAGGCAAAGCCCTCCACCATGCCCTGTCCACTAAGAGGGAGCAACTCGCACCAACCAAGGTTCAATGCCCAGGAGAGCAGCAAGACCAGGAACTCCTAAGCTAATTGCTCCCAAGTTTGAGTCTGTGCAATCAGACATGGTAACTCACAGACATCTGTAACTCCAGCTCCAGGAGACCCAGTGGCCATTTCTGACCTCATGGGCACCAGGCACATTTGTGACCCAAACACATACATGTAAGCAAAACGCCCACACATATACAAATAAATAAATAACAATTAAAAAGAAAGAAATTGGTGAACTCGGGCAAGGTGACACATACCTACAATTCTAACTACTTAGAAGGCTGAGACAGGATCTTAAATTTGAGGCAAGTTTGGCCAGGAACTAGAAACCTTGTTTCAAAAGCAAACTAGATAAACTTAAATTTAATAATATACTCCATTTACTATAATGTATCCAAACTGTTATCATCTCAACATGTAATCTACACAAAATATTTATATATAAACATAAGATATTTTATATTTAACTTTCTATATTTTGTTTTGGTTTGATATATAGACATGTGTGTGTGTGTGTGTTTGTGTGTGTATGTGTATTTTATTTATTTTGCCTTTTTGTTCTGAGATATAGTCTCATGCAGTTCTGGCTGGATCTGAAACTCAGTACAAAGACCAGGTTGGCCTCCAATCATGGAGAATCTTTCTGCCTCTGCTCTGAGAGCTGCTGAGATTATAGGTGTGCACAACCATCCCTGATCCATCCATATTAACTTTCCAGAATCCAGTGCAAGGATGAGTATGATGGTTCACGCCTTTAATCCCAGCTTCAGGAGGCAGAGGCAGGAAAATCTCTGTGAGTTTGGGACTATCCTGGTCCACATGGCAAGCTCCAGAATAGCCAGAACTACATAGAGAAATCTTGTCTGTACTTTACATTTAGAGCAGAGTTCAGAGCACAGCCTACATTTCAGATGCTCAGTCTCCAGGGATGCTGGAGTGCCAGAACAGCTCTGGAGAGTTCTGGAGATAGAGTGTGCCCTGGTTAGGGTTTTTTGTCAACTTAACACAAGCTACAGTTGTCTGGGAAGTCATGTATCAATTGAGAAAATGCCCCCACCAGATAAACCTGTAGGGCATTTTCTTGATCAATGTTTGATATGAGAGTGTCAAGCTCACCATGGGCAATGCCACCCTAGGCAGGAGGAGGTCCCAAGTGGTATTAGCAGGCTGAGTGAGCTATGCGGGGAAAGCCAGTAAGCAGCACTCCTCCATGGCCTCTACTTCAGTTCCTGCCTCCAGGTTCCTGCCTTAAATTTCTGCTCTGACTTCCCTTCATGATGAACTGTGGAAACTCTTTCCTCCCCAAATTGCTTTTGCTCATGGTGTTTATCATATCAAAAGAAGGCAAACCAGGACAGAATGTATTCAAAGGGGTAAGAAATGTAGTGAGAAAGCTGGAGAAATGGCTCAGCAGTTAAAAACACTGGCCACTCTTCTAGAGAACCCGGGTTCAACTTCCAGGACCCACACAGCAGCTCACAACTGTCTGTAACTCCAGTTCCAGAGGATCTAATGCCCTCACACAGACACACATGCAGGCAAAACACCAATGAACATAAAATTTTTAAAAATTAATTAATTAAAAAAAAAGAAGAAAGAAATCTGGCTAGGTCAACTAGCTCTTTATAGCTATTGTAGCAAGAAGCCATTTCCCTCTCTGACCTCAGGTTCTCTGTATGTGCATCAGTGCAAGTAGGTGTGCTTGTATGTGCATATGGAAACCAGAGGTCAACCTCAGGCAGGGTCTTTCACTAGCCTGAAGCTCATAGAACAGACTATGATGTCAGGGCCACTGAATCCCAGGATCCACCTGAGATCTTTTCCTCCCCAGCTCTGGTATTACAGCTGGTACCACCACCTCTTGCTTGTTTTTTGTTTTTGTTTTTTTCTAGACAGGGGTTCTCTATTGTAGCTCCAGGTATCCTAGAATTCAGTCTGTAAACAAGGCTTGCCTAGAAACTCAGAGATCCTTCTGCCTCTGCCTCCTGAGTGCTGGGATTAAAGACGTGCACCACCACCCAGTGGCTTGTTTGTTTGCTTGTTTGTTTTTTTAACCTGAGTCATGGAGAACAAACTCAGGTCCTCGTACTTATAAGACAAGCGTTTTACCAACTAAGCTATCTTTCCAGCTCCTCTGGACTCAGTTTCTTCTAGGTAAAACTGAAATTTTGGCTTCTAAATGTTCCAATGAACCTGGAAGCTGGAAGACAGGAAATATAAACCCCTAAAAGCACCAATCTTGGTTGTCACATCTAGACTCAGTGAGACTGAGTGGAGAGAGAGTGCTGTCTCTACTGGAAGGGAAACGTCTCCTCTCAAACGCTGCTGGGAATAAGGCACAGACAGATCCATCCTACCCAGGCTATGGCATCTTTGTCTGGTCACTACCCACACTGCACTAAAGGCATAGATGATAGCTCCAGGAATATCTGGAGAGGAAGAGAAAGACAAATGGAGACTTAAGAGAAGACAAACAGAGGGATCCCAGCCCCTGGCCCACCCCAGAAAACCCTACTGTCCTTACCCAATGCTGGCTTTGCTGTAGGTTAGACAGCAGAGCACTATCAATGGAAAACAGTCTGAGGATTCTACAATCTCTGAGCTGCAAAAGTCCCTTAGAAATAATTTTCCATAAACCCCTCTTTCAGTATAAGCCTGTCCCTCACTGTCACTGCAACAGGCAGGACAAACAGCACCACAGGGGACAGCTCTGACTAAAACTGTTAAGGATCTTGTATCTAGGCCTGGATTTGCCACAGGTCTCCGGGGGGACCTTGAGCCTGTCGCTTTGCTCAAGGTTGAACTAAAAGATCTAGACTTCCTCCAGCTCTAAAATTCCAACAGCCCAGCTCTCCTGTGGACACAAGTTAACTATTAACTTTCTGTCAAAGACACTTCTCTCATCACAAGCCTGGGGCCTTCGGAGGCTGCACTGTGAGTCAGTCACTTAGCACCCTTGTCCTGCTACCATTATCTGCACAGCTCACAAAGCAGCCTTCTCCCACTGCCAACCCCATGTGGTCAGGCCTGGCTGTGGATCCAGTCTCTCCTGAGCCATGCGTCCACCACTACCTGGTTGCCTACACCCTCCCTCTCCCAAACTAGTTTTGTGATACAGTTGCAGCTGCCTCTACTGAACTCCTCCCTCGGCTAGGCTGAGTTACTATAGAGCTGGATTCCAGAACCTTCTTAGATTCCTTGGACATGCCAGTGACTCCTGTTCTCAGATGAAACCTCCACCTCCCAGATCCTCATGCTGGGCCCTGCCCCTCATGCTGGGCCCTGCCCCTTCCTCTCTTGCCCTCTCACTTCCTTCCAGGGACTTTAACCTTGTAATCCTTCTGACGTCTTGCCCTAACTCTCCTGACCAGGAAGCTTTCCCTAATTTTGACTGGAGGAAAGGTAAGTGTGTATGGAAGTTACTTTGACCATCCTGTCTCCAAGTATAATCTGGCAACTCAGCTGCTTTATCATTTTAGGACAGTCAGCCTCTTGAAGGCAAGGACCACTCAAGGCAAATGAGCATCCACATTTACAAAACAAAACACTACTCATAGAATAAGAGTGGATCTCAAAAACATCTGAAACAAGAAAGAAAGAAGCCACTGACAAAAGCATATACAGTAATATCATTCTTCTTTTTTTTTTCCTTTTTCAAGATAAGGTCTCATGTAACCA